CACGGCCTGTTCAGGGCAGCAGCACTTGTGTTAGAACAGTAACTTAGGGACTGCTCCAGCCTGCTGCGTTGGTTTTCCCCATTGATTTCATCACGGTGTTGCTCAAGTGACTGGGAAGAATTTCTAGGACAAAGTCCCGTTCTGCTTTGGCTACTTCCCTTTTATTCCTGGTGTGACCAGATCGGCATTGACCTGCCCCAGTGGTGACTGGCACAGAGAACGGTAGGTGGGGTAACCCAGATGCTGCATCCCAGCAAGAGCCGCCGCGTTTGCCAGCCCGGTGCTCACTGTCCCCCGGCCCGCCTCGTGCAGCCCTTGGGCTGCTGCTTCCCGTGCCCCTCTTCCTGTCATGTCCCAGCCCAGTCACCCCCTGGCTGTTGGGCTGTAGCTCCCACACCCTGACTTCAACACCCTTTTTCTGCTTTCTGAGCTTTTCCCACGCTCCCAGGATTTTAAACTGCTCGGGCACAGTCCCGCCCCAAAGAGCTGCAGCGCACGAAGCCGCCCGGCCATGGGCTGTCGCCTGTTTCACTGCATCTTCCAGAGTGGGCAGAGGATTTTTTACCCTGGGGAAAACCTGTGGCTTCAGCTACTGTGAAAACACCAACCCGGCGAGGGGAATGCTGCGTTCCTGGCTGCCGTGCTGTTCCAAGGGGAAAGCTGCTGCTACACCGACTCGCAGCCCAGAGGGCTGCCTCCTGCCACTCATCCGAAGGGAGTTAACAGCAGGATGGTTGGGTGTCGCAAGGTCAGGCAATCTCCATCACGTGGAAGATGTTCCTGCTAGAGACTGCTTTCCCCTGCAACAGGACGCTGCTGCTACTCCCTTTGCTCGCAGCGCAGACACAGACACACTTCACATCACTGTGCGACAAGGTGGTTTTATTTTGGCTCGGCAGGATGGGCACTAGCGCACTCCCACCACTCCCAAGTGAAACCAGAGTGAAAATGGAGCACTTGGAGCTGACGGCCTCCTTATGTTTCTCCTTCAATTTAGTTCTAGCAATGTCTGCCAGCCCCTGGCACAGGGCAAAGCTCCTTCTCTTGCCGCGCGTAACTCTGGCACACAGAACGTCCCAAGTTTTGCAGGGAGAACAGGCGACGTGGCTCCTGCGCGGCTGGGCTGGGGCAGCGCACTGTCCCTCTCCTTCCCTCCCCCTTTACCTCGCCCTACTCTCGCCGCTGTGCTGGCAGGTACGTGTCTGAGCAGAGGCTGGAACTGAACACAGCCAGAACGTCACTCGCAGTGAAGCACAGGAGGGTGCTTCCTCCGTACTCCGACTTGCAAAGCAACACAGTCCAGCAGGAGAGTTGGGAACGCGACGAGGTGCCTCCCTAGAAGCATCAGTAAGTACATGCGGGGCTGCAGACGTGTTTTTACTAGTTCAGGAGAAGAGGAGTAGCTCCCAGCAGGCACTGCTGCCAAGCCCTGGCTCTCCAGGCAAGAGCCAGGGAAGCTCCGCTGGGCGCAGACTCTCCGGGAGCACCATCTCCACTGCCCGATGCGGTGCTGGTCACAGCCCGGAGGAAAGGTCTTGGCGCTTAAACCCCAAAGCTGCAAGAGAAGGGTACGCCATTGACCGCGCACTGAAAGGACCCCCCTGCCAGCCCCCAGCAGCATTCCCCAGCCTCTGCGAGCGAACGGCCTGGTCAGCCTCACGCCACAACAAGCCTGAAGGGGCGAAGGCATGAAAAGCAAGAACAGCTCGGGCTGTCACGGCATTGAACGCCGCGTGGCTCCCCGTGATCCTGGCTGACAGCGTCACTAAAAGCGATTTGGGATCATTTAGGTCACTTGGTACTTCTCAGGGTGACGCTACAAGCGATCCTGAAGACATTCCTACCTGCCCAAGGTTCCCCCTGCCTGGGTGTAGTACTTGTTGTAATCCAGGCGCAGCAGCAGTTGAGCCAAGTCCGAGTTTATCTGGTGGTTGCGAACACTGGAGAGAATCTTGAAGAGGAGCGATGACTGACGGCTGAACCCCTGCCAAGTAGAGGAAGTCAGCGTGGGCACTCGAGCACAGCGCAGGCCTTACACCTCCTGCCGAAACAACCCCTCACGGCCCGAGGAAGCGCTGCAAAAGCCACCGCGGCTGTGTCTGGGACAAGCTGAGCTGTCGGCCCCCAGAATCGCTAGGTGCGGGGGCTCCCAGGGGAGGGGCAGGGACACAGGCTGACAGCCACCTCCCTTCCAGCCCAGCGGGGCAGTTCCCGTGCAACCGCGTTCCTCCCCGCTGCGCACGCGGGCTCCTCGGCGGGAGCAGCTGATGGAT